ATCTATCTATCTATCTATCTATCTATCTATCTATCATCTATCTATCTATCTATCTATCTATCTCTATTATCTCTGTCTACCTCCATCCATCCATCCATCCATCCACAGATGCTCTCCTGTCTCCCCTGGTCCTTCTCTTCACTAGACCGGCCATGCCCAATTCCTGCAACTGTTCATCATATGTTTTATCCTCCAATTCCCTCATCATCCTGGTTGCTCTTTTCTTCACTCTTTCTAGAGTCTCAACATCTCTTTTATAGTGTGGTGACCAAAACTGGATGCAATACTCTAGGTGTGGCCTTACTAAGGCTTTATAGAGTGGTATCTCCCTTGATCTTGACTGTATCTCTCTGTTCATGCAACTTTCAACATCACATGGAATTTCTGGGTTTTGTATTCTGGTTTGCCAGAGAAAACCCAACAATTCCCGGAGCAGGAGAGAAAGTCCTGCATTCTCCATAGGTGTAGAAGACCCTCCCTCTTTTTCTTCCATCTTTTTAAGGGGCATTTAAGCTTTGAAGTGGATTGAACAAGTACACCTACGTTCTAGCCGTGGCCATTTCAGGTTTTTCGCCTGCCAAGAGTTATGGGCGGGGTCATCCCGTCTGGGGGGGAAAAAAATTCATGGAAGCAAGTGAGAATAAGCTAAAAATGAAATGTTTACTTGTTTAAGCACGTCACGGTGTGCACGTTTATCGCATTAACGGAATCCATTGAATGCAGTGATTTGTTCTCTTTTCGTTTACATTGTGCTTGGGGCAATAGATTTGCCGGGGGGGGCAGGGGGGGAACCGTAACTGTGCATAAATCAGAGCTGAGTAAACATTCAGCCTAATCTTTACATCAGCTGCTCTTTCAATTGTCCCGTTTCTTTGGTTTTTTAACTTCAGCTTTGGAGGAGGGCTAAGATATTTTAAGAGAAATATAATACAGTGTTGTAGCTGTGTTGGGATGTTAAACGTCTTTTACACGGGTCGTACGCCAAGGATGGCAATAAGAATACTTAAAAGTATTCTTTTAAGTGTCTCCTGGGTTTGTGAATTACCCAAACAGTCATCTGAGAAAAATCAGAAATGAATAGTGGATATAGGTTTACAAGAGCACTTAGGACAGAGGTCTAGTGGTGAAGCTAGGAGACAGGGAGTTCTAGTCCCACTTTAGGCATGAAAGCCAGNATTGATTGATTGATTGAGAGGTTAAAGGAACCGCTCTGGGTGTGTGTGTTGTCCCCTTACTGCTCAAAAGATAAACCCAGCTTGACTCATTCTGCTGGAACCCAGAGGGGAGGAAAAGGATCTTAGGGATGAAAATGATAGTTTCCAAGAAGGTTGGAGCTGGGCTTTGAGTAAATCAACATTTCTGGACCAGGAGACCCTGCCGGAAATGGAAAGTACGGTCACTGAACCTTTGTCGTCGTTTCCTTTCGACTTTTAAAAACGTGTACACAAATCTCTTAAGTACGCAAGGATATTGTTTTAACATTCCTTGCAGGTGGCACGTTTCCAAAGGAAACTTCGGGCTTGTTCGGCATCAGAATTCGCATTGCCCACACTCAAGGGTGGGGGCTAACCCACACCAATGCCAGTCCTCCGGGGGGGCCAGAAAGTTTTTAGGCTCGTTTCAAGCCGCACGAAGCAGAAAGATTTGGGGGGATCATACACTGGATCGTACGCTGGAAAATGCTTTTTTACATTTTCTTCCCTCATATAATAGGAAGAGGGGGGGCAAAATGGGCAAAATGCAGATCGTCCTTGACTCATGACCAGAATTGAGCCCAACATTTCAGTGGCTGGCTGTTGTTAAGTGAGTTTGGCCCCAGTTTGAGCCGCGGCGGCTAGAGTGGTTAGAGTGGGGTACTGCAGGCTGCTTTCTGCTGATCGCTGGCTGCCGGCCGTTTGGCAGATCGAAGCCCACCAGGCTCAAGGTTGACTCAGCCTTCCATCTTTGCCACCGTCGCTGCAGTTGTTAAGTGAGTGACACGGTCGTTAAGTGAATCTGGCTTCCCCTATTGACAGAAGGGTCGGAAAAAGGAATCATGTGACCCACCCCGCCCGGTTCCCTGCAACTGTCATAAATACGAGTCATTTGCCAAGCTTCCGAATTTTGACGATCACGTCAACGGTTGTAAGTGTGAAAAATGGTCATATAAGTCACTTTTCTTCAGTGCTGTTGTAACTTCAGTCACTAAACCAGTGTTTCTCAACCTTGGCCACTTGAAGATGTCCGGATTTCAACTCCCAGAATTCCCCAGCCAGCATTCGCTGGCTGGGGAATTCTGGGAGTTGAAGTCCGGATATCTTCAAGTGGCCAAGGTTGAGAAACACTGCACTAAACGAATGCTAGAAAGTTTTCTGTAATGTTTCGAAATGGAGGAAAAATACTTAGTCTTAAAGAAAAGAAAAAAACTTACTCCCACGAGATGAAAATATTTAGGGGCCAAAAAGAAAAAAACAGAACATACAGGAATTGTATGTAAGAGTAGAACTTTGTGCCACAATTTATCAACAAAGACCGACCAAGCACATCAGGACTGGCTGAGGCCAGTTACAAGGTTTATAATAGGACACAGCTGGTTTATAAAAAGACAGAGGTGGATTTAAAAAAAAGAAGAAAAAGAAGGGCAAGGCCAACTATGAAGAAATGACGGGGCCAAAGAGATTCCTCCTGATTTCTGCAACGCTGACATTTGTGCTTCAATGTCTCCCAAGTTGAAATGTGTGCACAAATGTCACTAGTGTGTGTAAGAATGACTGGGCCAAAGTCACCCTCCAGGCTTCCAAGTCTAAGATGGGACTAGAACTC